CTGTCCAAGGGAATTTCTGTAAGCCATCACCACCATCTCTGCACAGGGAGGACGACTCACTGGCCCACGACGCAAAGGAGAAAGCCGACCTTTTAGGCTCCCTTTTTGCGTCCAACTCGACTGTTGATGACGGAAGGAACACACCGCCGACTATCCCGCGGTGTGAGTGCTCCATGCCGGATGTGCTGTTCTCACAGCGCTCGGTTCGCAGAGCACTCCTCTCCCTTGACATCCACAAGTCGAGTGGGCCTGACGGAATCCCCCCAATTGTGCTGAGAACGTGTGCTCCGGAGTTGGCACCGGTTCTAACGCGTCTTTTCCGGTACTCCTACTCCCTAGGCGTAGTCCCGATATCATGGAAAACAGCTTTTGTCCATCCGATCCCTAAAAAAGGCGACCGCTCAGAACCGTCCAACTACAGGCCTATCGCCATCACCCCCCTGTTCTCCAAAATGATGGAATCCGTTATAAACTGCCACCTCATGCGGTACCTTGAGGATCACCTGCTGATTAGTGACCGCCAGTACGGTTTTCGTCGGGGTCGATCAGCCGGTGATCTTCTGGTCTACTAAACTCATAGATGGGTGGAGGCAGTAGAGTCCAAGGGGGAGGCATTGGCCGTTAGTTTGGACATTGCGAAGGCCTTCGATCGGGTTTGGCACAAAGCGCTTCTTTCGAAGCTCCCTTCCTATGGGCTTCCCGAGAAATTATGCAATTGGATCACCAGCTTTCTTGCAAATCGGAGCATCAAGGTCGTTGTAGATGGTGCATGCTCCGACTACAAGCCTATTAGCGCTGGTGTTCCACAAGGCTGCGTGCTATCACCAACGCTGTTTCTTCTGCATATCAATGATATGTTGTAAGCCGGTAGCATTCATTGCTATGCGGATGACAACACTGGTGATGCTCTATACACCGGCCGTGCCAATATTGCTCGGGAAAACGTCACCGAGTACCGGAACAAACTTGTGTCTGAAGTCGAGTCTTTGCTGGACAAAGTCTCGGATTGGGGGCGACTAAATCTAGTCCAGTTTAATACTCAGAAGACACAAGTTTGCGCGTTTACCGCTAAAAAGAACCCCTTTGTCGTATCTCCCCAGTTTCAAGGTAATCCCCTTGTTGCCTCAGCCAGTATCGGAACCCTCGGCGTCGACATAACGAGTGACGTGCAGTTTCGTGGTCACTTGGAAGAGAAGGCCAAATTGGCCTCTAAAAAGCTTGGCGTGCTCAGCAGAGCGGGACAGTATTTCATGCCAGCTCAACGCCTGCAACTTTACAAGGCGCAGGTTCGGCCTCACATGGAATACTGTTCCCATCTCTGGGCTGGGGCTCCCCAGTACCAGCTCCTTCCACTTGACCGCATCCAGCGCAGAGCGGCTCGAATCGTCGACGACCGAGTCCTTTCCGATCGGCTTGACTCACTGGCACTGCGTAGAGATGTTGCATCTCTTTGCGTATTTTGTCGCAGCTACCACGGGGAGTGGTCTGAGGAATTGTTCGGACTAATTCCAGCCGCTCAATTTCACTATCGCACATCGCGACAAAACTCGCGATACCATCCATATCATCTGGATGATTGGCGGTCCACCACTGTGCGATTCAGAAGAAGTTTTGTCCCTCGCACAACTTCCTTGTGGAATCGATTACGATTGTACGATTGGCGGCGGTAGTTACTTACCATCAGGTAAGCCGCATGCTCGTTTGCCCCCTCACCTATAAAAAAAAGCTGATCGAAAGTAATATTTTTGTAATTAGTGAGCAGAAGCGGGTAATTGAAAAATTGTTAGCTAAAATCGACGAACGGTTGGGCAGCGCTGAGAAAAGTTGCTATGCAGTTATCACTACCATGCCAATAACTCAAAGTGTGAAAGAGCTAGCAACATGTACGGAAAGCCCAGCGTTATCGGATCGTGAACGTCGAGCAACGGAACGTTCTCGGGCTAAGGGTACGACTACATTGCAGAAGCCGGAGCGTTTAAATACATCTACTGACTGTTTTAAAACAAATACAGATATCAATCAAACCTTAAATGAAGATTTAGCCGATTGGAAAACCGTCGTTAATAAAAAGAAAGTAAGAAAAACTCAGCCTAAATTGTTTCAAAAAGGAGGAAACACGCTCATTTCGTTGTTTCAAGCGGTTGAGAAAAAGAAATTTTTGCGCCTTTGGTTACTTCACCCAGACACTTCTGAAGAAGCTACAGCTCAACACGTGCAGAGCATCTGCAGTTCAAAGGATATAAAAGTTGAAAAAATTATTTATTTATTTATTTATTTATGCTTTATTTCCACACCAAGTACAAAAAGGCGGACTTAATGCAACAGGGCATTCTCTACCAGTCTACCTCCAGGCTAAGCAGAGAAAATATTGTGGGTGCAAAGTGCAAACAGCTAAGTAAATAACATCTATGTCTACATAATACATACAGTATATATACATATATATATACATAAATATATATAAATACATACATACAAATACTTACTTAATACTACTTATTATACACATACTACTTATTATACATATATATATACATATATATATATACATATTTAAATATAGCAGTTTCTGATTCAAACTCCAATAACAAATGTAAAAATGAAATGGAAAACCACAAACTACTCCTGCAACGTTAGATAGTAATTCCAGAGCAAGCGTTTGAACGATGTCTTGCTCGTGGCTGCGCGTACACTGCCCGGTAACTCGTTCCATAATCTTACCGCATGAGAAGTAGAAGATTTGTGTAAAAAGCTAGTGTGACAGAGGGGAACATGGAGGTTAGATTTTTCCGTAGAACGGAGACAACGATTATGGGTATCACCTTGATGGCTCATTCCGCCGTTTCGTGCAAATTTGAACGTTCCGTGGATGAAAAAAAAAAGTCGTATTTTCACGTTTTATTTGTATATTAACAAGTTAGGTTGGTCACTAGATTCATAAAAAGTGTGAGGCACTTTTTTATGTCATTTAATTACTGAGAAAATAATCCTTGAAATTTAACGAATGGATGGTAATGAAAGGGAGAAGGATTGTAATGAAATCAGGGGGATGGTAAGTAAAAAGGCTGGAATGGTAAAGAAATACGTAAATTTAGTAGAAAAAAAATTCATGCCTAAGTATTAGTGATTTATTTATATTTAGGTAGGTAAACAATAATTTTAATTAGATGCGTATTCAAATGAAGTAATTTGTTCTATTTTTGAGAATAAAATCAGTTATAATCAGTCATACTCATATGCAAAATAAAAAAAAACTATTAAGATTATAATATCACAAGTCTCATTAATCTTTGGAAGTAAAATCACAATATGTAAAAGAAATCAACAAGTAACTACATAATACAACTCAAAAAATATTAAATTCGTCACTGTCATCTGAATCAAAAAAATTATTGGCATTGTTTTCTTTTTCTGATTTATTTGACTGAATAAATGCTTCGAATTGAAGCTGGTGCTCATTATTATTTAAATAGAGTTTTTTTGGAATTAAATTTTTCTTTGGCGTCTCGTAAAATTTACGATTTTCCCAACTCAAACGGATATCGGATAAAATCTTGACTTTTGGAGATCTTGTCTTTGTTGTAGTAGCATTCGTTATGGGTGAGAGCTGTAAGTCGATTGGGCCTGAGAGAGGTTCCAAGTCATCAAATGTAACAGATTCGTGTATATTATTTAAAATTATGGAAGTATCTATGCTTAATGACTGATCGTTATGGGCTTCAAGGGTTTCATTTGAATCTGAAAGTGCTACCCCGTAATTTTTAAAATAAAGGAAGCCTAAATGTTTGTTATGTACACAAGGAATGCTACAATCTTGACAGCCAAAGCAGCTAAGGCGGCGTAAAGCGATGATCTTACTATGATCAGTAGTCCAAACGACTTGATGAACTTGCATCGTACCTTTAAATCCTGGAACATTGGGTGGGAATTCTTTTTCTACGATGTCACTCTCTGTAACTATCGCAAAATGTACATTTTTTATATTTTTAATTATCAAAGTCGCAAAATCTTCGAACGAACCAACATCTCCACCATATTTCACGAAATTATCAGCAGTCCGTTTAACAACAGCACCAATGCCATCCGGGGCACCTTTGCCATGGCCAGATTCTTGGAAATTCCATGTCACTCTATTAATACTGGGGATAGTGTCTTTCAATTTTGTAATCATATAAAAAATATTCTTATTCCTGTATTGGCTAGACGGCGAATCAGATAAAAAATGTACGGTATTAAACGAAACTAGCTCATAAGCCATTTTTAAAATAGGGCATAAGTGAGCCCATATAGCTCCAGCGTCATGTTTTAGGCAATCACTTATTGTACAAAACGATTTTGTTTTAAAGGTACCCTGTATGTTTTTATAGTAAATAACTCCTGTATGTAAGGATACCTGTTGACGACTTCCTCCGAAGTGGTAGGATTGTATCTCTTGATTGTATTTTAAGCAGTAATTCTCACTAAAATCTATGTGTACAAGTATCTCATCATCTTTCAAATTTTGTTTTAATTGTTTGATAACCTCGTACTGTACTGTAATGTTTAGGTTGTGCTTAAGGAATGGAATTAACATTGACTCTAATTTGTAAATAACATCGCGCGGATAATCTTCAAGTCTTTTTTTTTATGGTAACAATTTTAATCTTTTGTATCCCATTCTTCACTGTATATGATTTTTTCTCTGCAATCCATTGATAAAACTTAATTTTTTTGTCATTTTTGAATTCACGATAACTTAAAACTTTACTTACGCATGCTGTGCATGTACGTTCAAGACAGTTTTGCTTTATATCACAACAGAGAGTTTTAATAACGTCTGTACCAGTACTTTCGGTGATGATTTCTGCAGTTTTTAAAGCCTTAATTAAAAGATTTACGTTGGAATGTAGTTTGCACTGACAAGCCTCTCGATCTTTATTAGGAAAAACCACCCAGTAGGGTCTATATTTACAAAATGTTGAATAGCTTATGCTACTTTGCTCCTTCAAGAACTTTTCATGCTAATTTTTTAAATTATCAGTCAGGTACCGCTTCTGTTTTTTCAGGCCTCTGTTTTTTATAAATTCTTTCTTCCCCGCAGCAACTCTACTATTTGTGTCTTCTTCGAAAAAGGAATGAATGTCATTTATCAATGACTGTTTTTTTTCTTTTGTAATTTTTTTCTTTCTTCTAACAAATGGCAACTTATGAAGTAGCTTATATTTCCTCAATCTCTCTTCATTATGAATTATCTGTCCTGCAAAATGTCTCTTTTCCTTTTTAGTCATTGTTTTATATACGTCTTGTACGTTCTGTGATATACTTTCACTAAAAAGCAGTTGTTTTTTAACTTCTTCTTTTTTTTCGGGTCGTATTACCGTTAAAACTTCTTCAATTCTCTTTTCGACACAATCATGTTCTGGTTGACCTATATTAATTTGTTTACGAAAAGCATCTTTTTCCCTCTTTAGTTTATTAATTTCATCTTTTAATTTCTTCACCGTCTTTGAATGAGTATACCGCAAACGTCTTAATATTGCGCTGTTGAACTTAAGTAATCTTACATTTTTAATACTCGGAGTTGAAGACGGTCCCGGTTCAGCAAGCATCAAGGGATCTGAACTAGGAGGGTCTGGGTTAACATTAGTCTTCAATTCACTCTCTGGAGGTAAATTTTCTATTAATATTTTATGTATTTCGTTTTTTTCTTCCTTCCTTTTTAAATACTTTCAAGAATTTTTTCTCCAACGTCTTCTTTGTTCTCGTTGTGCTCTAGGGGTCATTTCTTTGATACTACAAACTTTTTCTTTTCTTTCCTTGCTAAATATCTTGTTCTCTCGTTTTCTTTATGTATAGAATACAGCTCTGGGTCGTTTTTTATTTTTTTATATCTTTCTCTTTTACGTAGTCTGTCTTTTGCTAATTTTTCTTCTCTAGTTAATTTTTTACTCGTTTTGGCCATTTTGGCACTAAAAAAAGATAAAATAATAATATCGTATAAGGTATAGTCATATAGGCCATAATTATTATAAATGTACGCTTAAAAACTGAAAAGTAACTCGTAGTTTAAAATTAAATGAATATTTTTCATTTCCTTCTAAAGGACTTCATTACCTTCCAACAATAAAATGGACGGTACGGATAGGAATGAAATGGAGATGAATGAAAATTTTCAACTATTTGCTGTGTTATCTTCATAAAAGTTTACATTAATAGACAATGGATTGTAATATAGATCAAAACTAATTAAAAAAACGTATTTTTTGAAAAATTAATATTTTATATTTTACATTACCTTGTGGAATCGAAGGAATGTGATGAAATGATTTATGGACGAAACACTTAAAACAATGTAAAGATCGTCAATAATTTTGACAGCAATAGACATACGTCCACCTCGCTCAGTGGCCTCGGCTGACTGATCGCTCTAAATATACTTTGTGTTTGGTGCCCTCTCAGTAAGGCCGGCCACATACATACGGAATTCCGTTTCGAGATTCCGTTTCGATATTCCGATTCGGAATCCCGAACGCAGCAAGTCCATATAAAATCTATGACCCGCCACACACGTACGGTAGTTTTCCGTTCGATATTTTGCGGGCAAAACGGGATTCCGTTTGTGTGTGGCCGACCGTTCGAAATTCCGAAACGGAATCTCGAAACGGAATTCCGTATGTATGTGGCCGGCCTAAACGCCTTGATCACGTACCTGGAGTTAAGTTTTAGGGTATGGATGGTAATGAAATTTTAATTGTGACAATTTTACATATGTTAATATTTTTAATTGTATTAAGTTAATTATTTATTTAAAATATTTTATCGATAAGTAATGATTTCAGTTACAATGTAGCATAATCATAATAGCTGTTATTTGGGAGATTGACAAATTATTATTAAAAAACCAGCTGAGGTACCCCGTTGGAAACAGAGAGGAATGATTTTTCAGGCAGGTTTTCGTATTTTTTTAATAAACTTAGTAATATACGTGTAATAGTAGCAATGCTACTTTTAAAGTGATTATTTTCAAACCTAATGGGCAAATAATATTCAAAATGTATACCTTTTTTCATGTGAAAATTGGTCTGGAAATGCTTTTTGCATGAAACTACGGAATGACCCTGATACTGAAATTTGCATTTCAGATATTCAGGGACAAACGGATCGTGTAAAACTGAAAATAACGTGCACAGTATTCTGAAATGTCTGCGATAGCGGAGAGGTAGCCATTTTAGCTGAGAAATATAAGAGGAAATGTGGTCGTATTTACGTAAACCGAAAATAAAGCGTATGCAATTATTGTGAAGTCGATCCAGTTTGTTTAGAAGTTCTTGCGAGGCATCAACATAGCAAACATCTGCATAATCTAGAATAGGTAACACTAAAGTCTGTATTAGCATTGCCTTAGTCCCTAACGGTAAAAAATTCTTGAGACGATACAGATGACGCAGAGTGTTAGTGACCTTTTTGATTAATTAATTAATTATCCCTAAAACTAAAAGAGATTACGCGTGAAAGATTTTATGATAGGAGTTCCCGAATCGCAATTTGAGAAAGTTAATTGTACTGATTGCTAGCCAATAAACACTTAGTACAATGAATTGGTGTAGTTTCAAAACACCCAAAAAACAACAGCAAGTCGGTAATAACAAGACTAAACCCGTTCTGCTATATTATCAGAATGTACGGGGACTGAGAACAAAAACAGCAGATTTTTATACCAGTCTTTTGGATTCTTCGTGCGATATGTTTGCTATTACAGAGACAGGTCTCAATAGTTCAATACATAACTTACTTACTTACTTACTTACTTATCTTCACGCACAATCCCTGACGGGGTAGCCAGAGAGAACAGATCGCCAAGCGTCACGATCCTTACATACCTCTTTCGCTTCTTTCAGATTCATTATCTTCTTCATGCATGCACGTCTAAGTATCCGAGTACTTTTGACCCTACCCTCTTCGAGCAATTTGCTCACATAGTCTTCGAAAGTTAGTCTCGGTCTACCTCGACACCTTTTAATATTAACTTTCACGCTATATATTTTCTTCACCATTCGGTCTTCACTCATTCGCTCAACGTGCCCAAACCACCGAAGCACGCCCTTATCAATTTTTGTGATAAGGTCATCTTTCAAACCTGCCATATTGCGAATCTCTTCGTTTCGCTTTCGGTCGGCCATGGTAACGCCGCACATTTTACGAAGAGATCGCATCTCCACTGCATTCAACTTACTTTTATGCTTCTTCTGGCATACCCAGGTTTCGCTGCCATATAACAAATAATTTTCCGCCAAACTACAAAATACTGCCATGTGATCGAGCAGATGGACGCAAACAAGGAGGCGCCCCCTTTCTGCATCTTCCAGACTGGATTTGAAACGCGTTTCTGTAGCTAATGTGGACGCGACTTTATTTGAGATTGTTTATGCAATGGTGCATCGTAGCGAAAAATTTTTATTCTTTTGTTGTGTCGTTTATATACCGCCAAAATGTGATGTTAAAGAATATATGTATTTATTTCATTTGATAGAAATGGAGTGTACTAAATATGACAAAGTATTAGTGATCGGAGATTTTAACATGCCTTCTTCGACATTAGAAATACAAAAATATTTTGGGTATGTTACAGCATATTGTGGATTTCGTCAGGTAAATGAAGTGCTTAATATAAACAATCGCATTCTAGATTTGGTATTAACAACTTTGCCAGTAAGTGACGTGGAGGTATCACTATCTGGTGACTCTTTAGTTAATATTGACGAGCAGTACCCACCTCTGACCATAAAAATCACGGCAGTGGACGCGAGGAGTGGGCGATCCTCTTTCAGTATGACTGATGATAAACAGAATAATAATAATATTTTAATTGAAAGCTCTAGTTGGAATTATAGGAAATGTGACTTCTTCGAATTATATCATTTATTAAATTCAATTGACTGGAGTTCGTTATATCTGTTAGAGGATGGTAAATCCTCCTTGTCTTATTTCTACGATAATGTAAAAAATGAGATTAGTACATGTGTGCCTTGGAAGAAACGTAAATTAAGTAATTATAATGCGAAGTATACTTACCCTGATTGGTATACAACTGATTTAATATTAGATATAAGGCTCAAATTGAAATATCATAAATTATTTAAAATAACGGGATCTCGAACGGATTATGAATCTTTTTCACGGTATCGTGCAGTAGTTAAAAATAAAATAAGATGTGCTTACAAGGCATATCAGTGTAGAGTACAAAATAATATAAAAGAGGATCTAAAAGCTTTTTGGAATTTCGTTAGGAGTAAACAGTCAAAACGTAATAGAACTCAAATTACGAAAGACGGGCAAGTGATTAGGGATGCGGACTGTGCAGAGTATTTTGCTTCATATTTTCATTCAATATATAGTAAGGAGCGGCCCACGCTAGATCCGAGAGAAGCGGAGCGAGTAGCGGCGCAAGCGTTGAGCTCAACACGCGTTCATATCGGGCGGATAAATGTGCAAGATGTTCGAGAAGCGCTCACACATCTTAAGCCCAAAAAGTCCGTGGGTCCAGATGGGATACCACCGTTCATTTTAAAAGATTGCTGTACGGTGTTTGAATAGCCTCTTTTAAATATTTTTAACCTGTGTCTAAAAGAAGGTTACTACCCGGACATATGGAAAGTGACTCGAGTGATGCCTGTGTTAAAAGGAGGGTCGGGTTTCCAAGGTGGATGAATATTGACCGGTAGCCGTATTGTCTGCAGCCGCTAAGGTATTTGAGTCGATTATTTATAAGTATGTTTATAATCAAGTGTAGCCGCAGCTTACCGAAGCTCAGCATGGTTTTCGGTCAGGTCGAAGTACGGGGAGTAATTTAATGTCTTTTATGAATTATGTGGTGCCAGTAGTAGATGCTGGGAGCCAGGTTGACACCGCATATTTTGATTTTCAGAAAGCCTTTGATACCGTTGATAACGATATTTTGTTGGTAAAGTTTGCCGAGTTAGGTTTTACACCTAGCTTACTAAATTTTTTTGCAAATTATCTTAGTGGACGTAGACATTACGTGGATTTTGGAGGTTTTGAGTCGCAACCGTACTGTATTTATTCTGGAGTGAGTCAAGGGAGCAATCTCGGTCCTTTATCATTTATGTTAATGGTTAATGATCTTCCGACGGTCGTTGAGGAGGCACAGTGTTTGCTATTTGCCGACGATCTTAAAATTTATTTGAAAGTAAGCAATGCTTCTGACTGTCAAAGTTTGCACAGGGACATTGACAGAGTGGCACGGTGGGGTATAGAAAACAAATTGAGCTTAAATGTGAATAAATGTTGTGTCATGAGTTATGGTCGTGCAAAAGCCCCTCATAATTATGCTTACCAAATGAACGGCCTCGTAATCCCTCGAGTTACACACATTAGAGACTTAGGCGTCGAAATGGCCCCGGAACTTAATTTTCGTAATCACATTTTAAATATTTGTAAAAAAGCTTTTAGGAATCTCGGCTTTATCTTAAGGCAGTGCAGGGATTTCCGTAATGTACTTACTATTAGAATTTTATATAATGCTATCGTAAGAAGTCAACTTGAAACGAATGCCATTATTTGGAATCCACATGAAAGCAAATATAGTGTCATGATCGAAAAACTTCAAAATAAATTTACACGATTTTTATATTTCAAGCAGTACGGAATCTATCCTAGTTTTCCATTCATGTATCCGAGTTTATTTGTACTGGGTATGGTCGGTTACAGCCGCCTGAGTGTGAGGAGAGACATCGCGCTTATTAAATATGTGTGTAACGTATTACGTGGATGGATACATCACCCAGAAGTGCTCGCTGCGCTAAAGCTACGTGTACCTGATAATTACGTGTGTTCTCGTCGCCGCGCCCCGTTACTCTTCGTGCCCACTGCTAGGACGAAGTTGCTTCAGAATGCACCATTGACACGTGCCATACACTACGTTAATATCATCTCACAGGATAT